ATGAACTTGGACGATGTCGAAGTGGAGTAGAAATGGATTCCAGCGCTCCAATGAATACGATGGGGTCATCTAACGGTACGTGTGAACGACCACTTCTTTGAATACCTTCCCCCCCCTCTCAACAAGCTCTTCAAATTGAACGATTTCTACATAACGACTCGTTAAGGACACATTGTAGCTGTTACTGCGTTCCGCGTACATAGAAGGTTTTTGCCTAAAACCCTCAGACGACCCTGTTATTTGTTATACCGCATTGGGAAACTATGGTCTGGGTAGCTGAGCTCATGCCGTGACCGGAGGTTCAGAGGATCTCGCTATGTGCAACACCACTGCTTGACTGGATTTTGATGAACCACGGGAACTAATCGAAGAGCACTATTACCTACTGAACATTCAGCACTTCGACGCATACTGGAGGAAAGACATGCAAAGTCGATAGAAAGCGAAATTCGGAGTTTATTATTGTATTCGCCTCAAGTTTCGTTGGAGAATCTAGATATTTATCTCTGATCACAGTGAAATACAATAATCAAATAAGCGTCGTCTCAACGACCAGATATACTGGCCTTTTTCCTAAACCAATACAGCCGTTTAACAGTTTATAGGTCTTTGTAGCAGAAGCCATTAAAAGGGGCGGAGAAAATCGAGCAGGCAAAACGCGAAACTAACTGGTAAACAGCGAAAACCAGATCTGTGCAACATTATAAAACCGAGGAACGTGTGAGAGACTTCACCTTGCGGTTCACAGCCGTTGAGCCCTTCCACAGTTTATCCTTGCTAATAACCATATTTGTGTGATGTCTGGGAGCAATCCTCATGAGATTCCTTGCTCTGTATTAATATCCAGTTCCCAAGTTCCTCTCTTTGGACCCTTTTCAAAGGAAAATAATACGTTAAAAGTGGAGCTGTAGCGACCTAGAGACCTGCGTTGTGCCATAGACCACACCCATCGCATGAGCTCTGCGCACAAACGTGGCTACGAGCACAGTATCTGTTGCCATCGCTCTTCCTTGTAAAGCAGCCCCGCAACACTCAAGGGTTTGTTGTGGTGCAAATGAAAATTTCATGTCCACACTTGCGCAAATCCTTCCCAAACAACCTGGAATTTCCAAATTCTGGATCAAAGATCTCATCGATACCATTTCTGGTCAATAATAGTGATGTCAGTGATAATATTTACTTATTTTGAGAAATAGCTCCTCGTAAGTGCTCTACCAATCGCGCTACTCTGAAAATCCCAACAAGGGCTTGACATCGAACAGTCTCTCTGTCTCTCATACGCCTATCGTTAGCACAAATTCCTGTAGAAATGCGTTCACACTCCGCGACCGGGCGTTCTTGCGAATCGAGCGACTAATTGCGGAGTATGAACGCAATAAAACTTGCGTCGTGTAAGGAAGTCACCACCAGGGTGGGTCCTTTGTTGGGGATCCCCAGCAGGGCAGGCCGTTCGGTCGACCAGAGGGAAGGGGTCGTATTTGGGATATCAACATGGTTGGGAGAATTCGAATGGGCAGTGGGGATTGTTGGCTGTGAGAAATTAGCCGCGCTCTCCTGTTGTTGATTTTTCATGGTTTCCCCATTTCTCTGGTGCCACATACCTCCCTCCCCCCTGCCTCCCACCCTCGACGTCTCGCCAGTTGAATTGTTGAGGGGGATATGGGAAATTCCAGAATAGGGGCA